GAGGAGGGTCAAGAACACCCTGTAGAAGTGGTGAAATTGATTTTGAGTGATGGCAACAGTTGATACTGATTGATCACTTACTCCGGGCCGAACACTATTCTTGGTGCTTTAGATGTGTAAATTCAGGGCCAGCCCGTGGCTCACTTGAATTTTGAGTGATGGCAACAGTTGATACTGATTGATCACTTACTCCGGGCCGAACACTATTCTCGGTGCTTTAGATGTGTAAATTCAGGGCCAGCCCGTGGCTCACTTGAGAGAGTGCGGTGCTGATAACACCAAGGCCACAGGTTTGGATCCCTATATAGGGATGGCCGGTTTGCTCACTGGGAGAGCTTGGTGCTGACAACACCAAGTCAAGGGTTAAGATCCCCTTACCGGTCATCTTTAAAAAAAAAAAAATAAAAAAAAATGTGTAAATTCACCAAATTCTCCTAGCAGACCCAGAGAGGTGTGTAATTAGGGTCCCTGTTTGAAACATGGAGAAACTGAGGCACAGAGAGGTGAAATTACTTGCCTAGAGCAGTGCAGGTAGAGTAGGGTTGATGAGGAAAGTGAGCCATGGCACACATGGGTTAAGTGCTGGCTCCACAGGGTGGGGAGGGAGGCTTTGTGATTACCCCACCCATCTCTAATCCCTCCCTTTCTGCAGCGAGGGTGGGTCCTGGGCCCCAACAACTACTACAGTTTTGCCAGCCAGCAGCAGAAGCCAGAAGACACAACCATCCCTTCCACAGAACTGGCCAAACAGGTCATCGAGTATGCCCGTCAGCTGGAGATGATCGTCTGAGCCCGCCAGGCACTGGGGTGGGGCAGGGCATGCATTATTTAAAATAGTTACAGTGCAGGGTTTCCTCCAATAAAGGTGAATTGACATTCTCTCTTCTAGGCCCTTGTCTCCCCCAGTTGGGATGGTGGGAAGACAAGTTCTTATCTCTGAAGAACTTGGAAGTTTTGGGGCCTTCAGGGTTGGAGGTAACACCTCTGATTTGTGGCCATTGCACAGCCTCTGTTTCATGGCCATTGCTCAGAGTCAGCGTCTGTTTCATGGCCATTGCTCAGGGTCTCAAACACAGATGCCCACTGCAGGGCCCCAGTGGCACTGGCCAATGAGAGAGCACAGGCCCCAGATGGAGGAACTGTTCCAGCCATTTGTGAACACATGAGGATGCAGGACCAGGGTAACAGATTTTTTCAGCTAAGGTGGTGAAGTGTCCCAGTTTTTAAAATGTTAGCAATGAATTAAACAATTTTTAAAATGACATGTGAAATGGACCCTATCTGTGAGCTACCAGTTTGAGCCCTCTGTGGAACGAAAGGTGTGGGCCTTGTCATGGGCTTGCTCTGGTTCCCACACTTTCTGAGCCAGCTCTGTGACTTTGGACCTCCCCACCCCGCAGCTTATGTTTCCTGCTTCGAAGTTCTTGGGAAAATATTTAAGGCACAGAGTTCAAATCTGGCTGAGCCACTTGTGGGATGTGGGATTTTCAAGAAAGTCTTCCAAAGTTTTCCCTACTGTAAAAGAGAATGATCACTCCCTCTTTCCAAAGTGGTTTGTGCTGAACCTCTGAGCTTGGTACCAGGTCAGCTCAGACATGGGGCTGATGATATTTAAGGGGAATGAGACCACCCCAGCTCTGGGCCCATCAGTCTGGATGGTGGATGAATGGAACCTCAATTATTGCTGCTCTGGGTCCATCCTTCTTGTTTCTAGGATGTGGTGCTTTCATGGAGAATTCTGCCCTGCCCCATCCTACCCCTTCAACCCTGAGTGGGTGACTGACAGGCAGCTAGGTATCTGGATTGGTTATTTTATTGGCATGGAGGGGAAGGGGGAGGGCGTTGAGCAGATTGCACTCAGTTGGAATGAGTGGCCTGCAAGTCGTAGTGCTCCAGCCCAGCTACCAGGGAGACAGCCAGCTTGATGGTGGTGACCCAGGGCGGCTCACTCAGGTGGTTGGTTGTTGTGCTCAGCCTAGGGGGAGGATAGAATCAGTAGGGCCTGGCTGTGTGACTGGGCCCTTACCCCTTCTAGGCTTCACCTTCCCCATGTGAATAAGGAAACTTCTGAAGGCCATGTCTGAATATCCCAGAGGCAGTTTAGGGCAGGGCTGTACCCACTTAATCTTTGTAGGAAAGGGGGTTGAGGGTTAGTGATGGTGTCCCAGTTGAGCCCCAAAAGGTCCAGGGAGAGTGTCTCAGTGATTCAGTGTCCTCAGGAGCCAGGATCAAGCCCTGATGACTAGACCCGGAGATTGAATATGGGGGCAGCCAGAGGATACAGTGTCACCCCTGGATCTGCACATTCAGGAGCAGTCTCTGCAGCACAAGGGCTGGGGCATCAGTGCCCTCTGGTGGTCAAAGACTTGGATCCCAGAGTTAGGAGAAATTGCCAAAGGCTGGAGGAGTCAGGTGTCTGAGGGAGTAGGCCACGGCTTCCTCTGTGTCCAGGAAAATTGGAGGCCTAGACATAACCCCCGTTTGGTTCCAGGAAGACAGTCAGCTCTTGCCCCCATATCCCACTTGGTGCCCTTAAGGATAGGGTCAGGCCAACTGGGACCAGCTTCCCTCCCTGATGGCTCCCGAGAGTAACAGGAGAGTCAAGGGTCAACTTGGAGGTCTGGATACAGTAGGGCTGGGCCAAGGAGTCCCCTCTCCCCAGTCGGATCATTATGGGATCATGGCTCCTCTTGGTCCTGAAGGATTGGAGCTCTGGTAGGTTTGAAATACAGCCAAGAGGAGGGTCAAGGGTCAAGGGTCAGGGTGCCAAAGGGTTGAATAGGACTCTGTCCAGGATAGTCTGGGGTTCAGGACTTGGAGGGGTATGCCATTCCCTCCCTACTCCCTGATCTCCCCTCACCAGGCAGACACGTTGCGTGGCAGGCGGCGATGGCACGACTGATGGTGGCAGTAACACTTGCAGGGACAAGAGTTAAGCACCTGGAAGGGCGGCCAGTGGCGCACGGCACCCATGTTAGCAGCCCCGGCTGGAGGGGCACAGCTGCTACCATCCCCTCCACCGCTGCTGTCAGTCACAGTAGCTGTAGTCCGTTCGCGAGGACCATCTCCAGGCGTGCCATCCTCATGGGTCATGGCCCGGGCCGCTCGGAGACCCTTGTTCCTGCGCGTGCGGGCCTTGATGGACGCAGGCGCAGGCGCAGGCGCAGGCTCAGGCAGCGACGGTTCGGCTGCGGTGGGAGCTGGAGCCGAGGCTGGGGCAGGGTTGGGGGCAGGGTTTCGCGCCAAGGTCCAGGGTTAGATCCCTGTACTGGCCA